ATTCTCTACAATTCTGCACTGTGTATATAAATTCTGTTAGCATTTCTCACCAGCATGTGACAAAATATAATCAGAGATATGCAGAACAATACAAATGAGTGATTAGTATTGAAACAAAAACAGAAATGTTTTCAAAGATTTTAAACTCTTAGATGTTATATTCGGTGTAAAGTTTTTTTCCTTCCCAAAATTGCACAGCTCCTTTGTAGAAGAACATATCACAAGACCTTTCAGTTGTCTGATACGGAATAGTGAGCAGAGTTAGGTAGTGGAACAGAAATTATATGTCATCTAGTGAGGATGCTGCTAAGGATTCCATACAAAACAAAATATGGTAAAAGTTCTATGTGGAAAGAGAGATTAAAAAGTTACTCCAAACAAAAGTTAGTGGTTTTGTGAGTAACTTTGCCCCTGGACCACCTTGCAACCCCCGTTTACAAATTCATTTAAAAAAAAAAAAGCTTAACCGAACCTTATGTTGCAGTGTTGAAACCAAGTTCTCCCATCAATCAAATCATTCTACTCTGACATATTTTCCCATAAGTGCCAAAGTTGCACCTCATACAGAAGATGAGTTGAACTTTGTATGTGCAGTCTTTCATAGAAAAATTGTGCACATACAGACTCTGGGCACCATGACCACTTAGAATCACTGAAGTAGTCATGCTACTTGGAATAACCCTTTAAATGGCAGACAATTTTGTAGTGAAACTGCAGAGGCATGTTCTACACACTAAAAATGTTTCATTTAATGGTCACTATAGTCACAAAACAACTTTAGCATTATGAAGCAGTTTTGGCATATAGACCACGCCTCCAGTCTCACTGCTGAATTCCCTGCCATTTAGGAGTTAAATCACTTTGTTTATGCAGCCCTAGCCACACCTCCCGTACACAGGCTTCCTAAACACTTCCTGTAAAGTGAGAGCTAATGTTTATACTTCCTTTATTGTAAATTCTGTTAAATGTATTTTCTCCTGCTCTGTTAATTGCTTACTAGACCTTGCATGGCCCTTCTATGTGTGATTAAAGTAAAATTTACAGAGCAGCAGATACCATTAAGAGCAAGTAAGTTAACATCTGATTGCAAATGAAACCATTTTCTTAATGTATATGAAAAACGAAAATAAACTGAATAGGAGGAATAGCCCCCTAGGGGGTCCTCCTAATTGCTGGTATAAAAAATATGTACACCATAAATACAATATTTCTCTAGGCTTCTTGGAAAAATATGTGAAGTGTAAACAGTGGAAGCTCTTTTAGCCCCTGACGAAGGAGTTCTCGTACTCTGGTTGCTGGACTCTTAGATTTTGATACTTACTGGCTGCTTACCAACTAGAGGCCGCTGCATGGTTCTGCTACCATCACTTATTATTTCTTTTTCGGAGTTACCTACTTTTAGACATCCTGCTATTCTCTCCTATTAGAGGGCTCTATTCCTGGTGTCCCAGATTTGATTGACGTATTCGTTTATCCAGGATCCCGTCTATATATCGATCAGGGTACCCTGTAATTTTCTATCTGTCCCCCCTCTTTTTATCACTCCCCCCCTCTTTTCTTGGGCGTTTATTTGTGTTTTTTGAGCTTTCACACTATTTTGGATTGCTCTCATATTATAACAAATTTAGCTCAAATGGGGGGAATATAGACCTAGTCTTACTAGCCACTGGTTACATTGTTACTATAGTATATTCTGGGCATTATAAGGTCAATAAAGTTTTTTGGTTCACATATCTACTCTTGCCTTAAGATACTTGGTTATACCAGAGGAGCTAGAGCTTCTACTGTTTACACTTCACATATTTTTCCAAGAAGCCGAGAGAAATATTGTATTTATGGTGTACATATTTTTTATACCAGCCATTAGGAGGACCCCCTAGGGGGCTCTTCCTCCTATTCAGTTTATTTTCGTTTTTCATATACAATACCTGGGTTCAAGCCCATACTAGGTGGAGCTGGTACCACCATCCTGACCCATTTTCCTAATCCTCGTTCCAATTTTCTGTTGGCTGAGGAGATAGGAAAATTACTTTCCTTTTTCTTATTTTTCATTTTCTTAATGTAGCCTGAGTCTTAGCTGCATGGACAGAAACAAAAGTGACTCCTAACAGCAGAGAATAGAGCAGTGAGACATTGGGGACATGATCTATACACAAAAACTGCTTTACTGAGCTAAAGCTGCTTTGGTGATTATAGTGTCCCTTTAACTTAAGTTGTTTTGGTGACTATAGAGTTCCTTTAAGCATAATGCTCTGCTAATACAGTGGTATAAGGTTGAGTAAAACCTAACATTGGCATTTGTTGCAATGTACATTATAAAGTTTAGATCAGGCGTTTCAGGATTCCAGGTGGGCGGTCAGGGCCACGCGATGTATGTGGATTGTAAGGGGGCCTGGTCAGCGCTGGGCGCCTTAACAGCGCGACCAGGCCCCCTGTGATTACATCATAGAGCTGGGAGGAAGTCACTCCTCCCAGCTAACACACAGACCGCGCGGGAGGAAGCAGAAGGAATCAGAGTGGGAACTATGACTCCCATCCACCTGAGCCACCCCTGGACCACTGGGAATGTCACCCTCCTGCACCTAAAATGTAGGAAACAGGAGGGTGCCTAAAATATTTTGTGTGTGTTTGTTTGTGTGTATGTGTCTTTCTATGTATGTCTTGTGTGTGTGTCTTTGTATGTCTTGTGTGTGTCTGTCTGTATGTGTGTGTATGTGTATTTGTATGTATGTATGTATGTATGTCTTGTGTGTGTGTGTGTGTCTGTCTGTATATATGTGTGTATGTATGTGTGTCTTGTCTTTGTATGTATGTGTTGTGTGTGTATGTCTTTGTATGTATGTGTGTTGTATGTGTGTCTTCTGTCTGTATGTGTGTATGTGTCTATGTATGTCTTATGTGTGTGTCTTTGTATGTGTGTGTGTGTGCATGTCTGTGTGTGTGTGTGTGCCTGTATGTATATGTGCCTGTCTGTTTGTATGTATGTGTCTTGTGTGTGTGTCTGTATGTGTGCGTGTATGTGTGTCTGTATGTATGTGTGCCTGTCTGTTTGTATGTATGTGTCTTGTGTGTCTTGTGTGTGTGTGTGTGCCTGTCTGTTTGTCTGTATGTATGTGTGTCTGTATGCGTCTTTGTATGTGTGTCTTGTGTGTGTGTCTGTATGTGTGTGTCTTGTGTGTGTGTGTGTCTGTATGTGTGCCTGTCTGTGTGTCTGTATGTATGTGTGCCTGTCTTTTTTATGTACCGTGTTTCTCCGAAAATAAGACCGGGTCTTATATTAATTTTAGTCCCAAAAAACACACTAGGGCTTATTTTCAGGGTAGGGCTTATTTATTTATGGTACCGGTATGTACATTGAACCCCCCCTTTAATTAATCCACCCCCCTTTAATAAATCCACCCCCTCTAATAAATCCACCCCTCTAATTAATCCACCCCCCTTTAATTAATCCACCCTCCTTTAATTAATCCACCCCCCCAATAAATCCACCCCCCCAATAAATCCAGCCCCCTCTAATTAATCCACCCTCCTTTAATTAATCCACCCCTCCTTTAATTAATCCACCCCCCTTTAATTAATCCACCCCTCCTTTAATTAATCCACCCCTCCTTTAATTAATCCACCCCCCTCTAATAAATCCACCCCTCCTTTAATAAATCCACCCCCTCTAATAAATCCACCCCCCGTTTAATAAATCCACCCCCCGTTTAATTAATCCAACCCCCCTTTAATAAATCCACCCCCCTCTAATTAATCCAGCCCCCCCTTTAATTAATTCACCGCCTCCTTTAATTAATTCATCGCCCCCTTTAATTAATTCAGTCCCAGACATAAAATATCTACTCACATTTCAAAGATGCCTTCCTTGCCCGCCGAGTCCGACCACTGGGTGCCTCACCGCCCGGAAATGGATCCTTCCGCTGAAGATCCGTGAAGGCAGACTGACGACGCTGCGCACGTCGTCATCACGTTGCGCGATGCCGCGGCCTGCAACGCTCCTCCTCCTCATAGAAGAAGGAAGTCCCGCCGGGCCGAAAGGTACAATGCCTAGGTCTTATTTTCGGGGTAGGGCTTATATTGCAGCCCACCCCGAAAATTCAGCTAGGGCTTATTTTCGGGGTAGGGTGTATTTTCGGGGAAACACGGTATGTGTCTTTGTATGTGTGTCTTGTGTGTGTCTGTATGTGTGTATGTGTGTCTTGTGTGTGTGTCTGTATGTATGTATGTGTGCCTGTCTGTTATAGTGGGATATAATAAGTGGGATACCTAGCTCAGCCTTCCTACTGGGCATTGCGATAAGGAAGGTTAAAAAAATAGAAAAAAGGGAAAAAAAAGTGGGGGGGGGAATTGAGGAGGGAGAGGAGATGAGCTGACGCACAGATAAGAATTCATATTATGCGCAAACAGAGAAGTCGTCTGAATATCACCGAAAGAGGAGACCTTCGTTTGTTCCTTATGAAAATCAAACCAGATATCAAATATTTAGTCTTGCAGCATCAACCTCAAGGATTTCATTATTCACTAATAAAGGTAATTTCAGTTTACTTTATTGTTTTCTCATTAAACTATATAAAGTTAAAAACATTATAAACAATCCTTAAGTAGAAATAAAAAGATAAATGTACGTACATTTATTTTATTTTTAAAGCACCCTCCTTTCTAAAAAATATTCTGCACTTGCGCGAAAACTGGTGGGCGGTAAGGAAATTTTTCCATCAAGAAAGATGCATTAGTGGGAGGTAGGTAGAAAAAGGTTGACTACCACTGGTTTAGATACTTAATTGTATCCATGCCAGAGTATCAATGTAAAGAATAAACAGGAGGTCACAGTCCTGCCAAACTATGGACATAATGAAAAGGGACGTTGTAGGAGGAGGCTAATGTAATGTAGTTTGCCTCACAGGTAAAACGTTATTGCCTAGAATGGTGTACTTTTATTCTCTGGTATTATTAGATAATATTGTGGATAGAATTATGATATTTTTTATGTTGGTGATACATAATTTTATTTTTTTTGCAATTCTTTATTTTTGCGTGCAAGGTTAGTTACAATACTACCCGTATGGCCACAACAGCCTTCCGGGTTTTCAAATGTTTCATGACATCACAACATAGTTTAGGCATACATAGCAGTCTGTCGATTCTAATCTGTGGTGTTAGCTAGTTCTGCACATTTTAATATAATTTATGGGTCAGTTGGTGTCGAACTGAGGCAACATTGGAGTACTTTTGAGGAGTGTGTCTTTTTCCCCCTCCAGTGCTAGGATTGTAGTAGTGTGGGGGGGTAAAGAACCCAAGGGTTGTCTGTTTGGAGTTGGTTGGTTGCGTGTTTGTGCCCCCTTACATGTTCCCTGAAGGGGTTAATTGTGTGTACGAATGGTTGTCCTCAGTGGCGTTTGTGTCCACAGGTGAGTGCTATGAAGTCCGCGTGTCAGCGTGTGTCCGTTTGCGTATAGTTATACGTGTGTATAGGGGTTGTCGCTCATTGAGCCTATGTGTGCCTCTGCGATCGTCCAGTGGGTTGGGAATTGACTCCTTACCGAGGAGGTCGCGGGTGGGGTGGGGGGAGGTGTAGTCTCCCTGGAGCTTTTGGTGTATGTGTCAGGGTGGGTCTTGTCTGATGTTGTGTCAGCAGCAGTTATGGTGTAGCGTTTAGTTAGTCGTGTAGGTGCATATGTTTCAGTAATACATAGATAAAAATAAACAGTGAAACAACAGGAGAAACTAAAGGTAAAACAGAAGGCAAGACCGGAACCTGTTAATGCATTGTATGCTTGTTGGCTACAAATTTTACAGTTCAGGTCGGTTCTCTCCGGTGCTCTCTATTCCTGGGGATGAATGGGGTCGTTCTGTCAGGATACCAGGTGTACGAAGACGTGGGAGTTTCTTGTGCTGCGGGTCCGGCGTGAATCCCCAGTGCGCGTAGGAACTGTTCTGCCTCCTGTAGTGAGGAAAGATTGTGTGTGGTACCGTTTTTGGTTACAGTCAGGGTGCTTGGTAGAGTCCATTTGTACTCAATTTTAGCTTCGCGCAGACTGCTCGTCACTTGTGCCAGGGACCTGTGCCACAACAGCGTGTTTCTTGTTAAGTCCTGATAGAAGGTAATGTGGGATGATTCAAAAGCAAGTGGTGTCCTTCCCCTGACTGCTGTAAGGATCTTGATTTTGTCTAGCACTGAGTGGCACCGGATGATGACATCTTGTGGAGCTGTGGCTGGGGCTTGTCTTGCTCTTTTGATCCTAAAGAAACCGTCTAGTGTGAATTTTTTTTTGCTTGGGCGTGCGGTAGGAGCGTGGCTGTGAGACGTCTGAGGTAGTGGGGTAGTTCTGTGGAGTCCACGCTATCCGGTATCCCCCTTAATTTTAAGTTAGTGCGCCTGTTGCGGTCCTTTGCTAGGTCCATTCTCGTAGTGAGGTTGGATTGGGATGTCTGCATGAGTGTTATTTGTTCTTTTAGCCCCTGTACCTCTTGTTTCAAGTCTAGGGTGTCCTCTTCAGTGGCTTGAGTGCGTGTAATTATTGCCTGCATTTCGGTCCTTAGCAAGTCCATATCTGCTGCGTGCATTTGTCTCATTTCTTTCAGCAGGTCGGCTATGTCTTGTTTAGTAGCCGGTGTGAGGTTAGTTCTGTTAGTTTGTGGATCCCTTATTGGGTGAGCGGTTAATAGTTCTTGTTCGGCTCCAGATTGTTCTCCTTCATCTTGGGAGGCAGTTGTGCGGTCTGGCGAGGCCGCCATCTTGGGCGCCGTTGGTCTTTGCAGCAGGTTGCCTATGTCCTGTGTGGTCCTGCTTGTGTTCTGTGTGGGTCTCTTGGATTTTCTGCCCATGTTGTAGTCGTTAGGCGCAGCTGTCCCAGTCTGCAGGTAGGCGTCCTGGTGCACTTTCAGGGCTGTGAGTTCTTGTGCGAACCTTGAGGCTTGGTAGGCGGTGTAGGCCCCGGTTTTCCGTCGGGTCTTTCTGCTCGTTTGCAGATACAAAAAAGGCATCAGCTTGCTGCTCGCTTACTGGGGTTTCCCCGGGAGCTGGTAGAATGCCTCTGTAGGTGCCGCAGGGCTTAGTTTTAGGGCCTTTTAGGCATCGTTTGTCCGGAGCTCGGAGGTGATGCGACCGTTCCTGTCTGGTGCTCGGCTCCGCCCCCCCCGGTGATATATAAATTATAAACATTCCCTAATGGAAATTTTCATTCATAGATTAGGGTACTGGGCACTCAAATGACAAACAAAATTTACTGTAGATAAATGCAAAGTTGTACACTTTGGGGTGAAGAATGCACAAGCAAGTAACACAATAAATAGTAGTGAATTAGGGAAAAAAAACACACGAAGGCTATGGCAATAGATATAGACATCAAACTAGACAACAATGTATAATGTCAATCAGCAGTTGCTAAGGCTAGTAAGGTATTGTCATGCCATAAAAAGGGACAGTAAGAGGGCTGGATTTCCCACAAGGCCACTGAGGTAACGGCCTTGAGGCAGCAGGAAGAAGAGAGGCAGCATGACAGTAGGGAGATCAAAGCTTTCCCTCACCAGCCACAACATTCTGATTCTGGTGTGGTGAGAACAGGAAGCTTTAAGAACCCGATTATGAATGTTCCTGATGAGTACATTTGGACCTGATGAGCATCAGGAACCCATAGGAAAGCATTGGGGAGCCATATGTGCATGTGCAGTAATCACTGCGTTGTGGCAAACAGCATCTCCTCAGAGATGCATTGACTCAATGCATGTCTGTAGGAAGCAATCAGCACATGACTGCATCCAGGAAGCACCTCTAGAGGCTGACAGTGTGGCAGCCCTTTGAGGTAGCATTAGACAGGTAATTAAACACATTTTGTTCTCTGAAAATGTAGTTTTTACTTTAGAAATACTACAGGGACAGTCTCTTTGCCCCCTCCCATCTCTGTGAGAGTTTAAGGGTGAGTATTACTTGTGTTTTTTCTTCTCGCCATGCTGTACTCACCATGGCCACTTCACCTCCCTTGCTGAGATTATCAGTACAATCAAAAGCTTCCCCCATAGATAAGCATTGTGAGACTAGTGCGCATGTGCATCAAATCGCCACACTACACCAATCTGCAACTTGCCACAGATATGCACTGAGGGTTCAGTGTAGAAATGCAGAGTGTAGAAATGCTGATAGTCGGTCCTGCAGATTGCAACCAGGAAGTCCCTCTAGTAACTGTCGTAGTGACAAGCAGTGTAAACACTGTTTTTTTTCTCTCAAAAAGGGCAGTATTTACACTGCTGAGGCTGCAAGGACAGGCTATTTGCCCCCAAACCAGTACGTGAAGCTGTAGTGGTTCTGATGCCTGAGTAACAAAACACATACCACAAACCTTGGACAAAAATAAATACATTCCATATCAACCGTTTCAAAACACTGGGATGGTTTTTTTTTTTTTTACCCTCAGGAAACGAAAAATAATTTTCAAGTGGTTTTAAATGCATTGACAATTTAATGTTTTGCCTGTCCCTGGAATTGATTGGGTCACCAGTCACTACATAGTCAGTCTTTTTTCCTCTGTGAAAGGAATTAACAAGACCACAGGACCCTCTTAATGCTCAGACGGAAATCTAATAGCTCTTCCGGCCAAGGGGCATTGCAGTGTCCAAGACAGAACCTTAAATTAAAATTTGTCTGAGCGTCATTTGCTTCATGAAATGCTTTTACTCAGAATATGTCCTTTGTGCAGACTCTTTTTATTATCCTGTTTTCCCGGGCACTGAATTTGCTGCATTATACTCATCTTTCAATTACTGGATGCGTCTTGTCATAAGGATTTCCTTTAGAAATATTGCAATGGCTGGATAGAACCTAATGCTTTATATAGTCTGCTTACAGAGGCATTTTAAGTTTTTTACCTACAGTTCAGTCCCTTTAAAGTTTTAGCATGTACTATTTACGTTACCTTGATGTAATAATACCTGTTAAGCAGTAATTATTTCATTTATCCCCTCATTGTCCACATTCATACTGTCTTGTTTAGACACGT